TAATTCACTTTACAGTCCACCCGGGGGCGCCATGAAAAATTAGAAGAGTTTTTCTAATCAGTTACCGAAAACTTTGGGTGGCTGTAATTTAAATTATTTATTTGGCGGGGCGAAAAACTTTATACGCTCGATCTATTTCAAGGTTGGCGAACAACTAACGTTTCTTCACAATTCAATCTCTTACTCTAGCTATCCTACGGTGGCAAAGCGGGGCGAATTCGCCAAGAGCGAGAGAGCGAGCTTTTATTGCGCTCCCGCTTTGCCCTAGCCTAACTTACACTAGACTTCATAATTCATAATTCCATCTATAACTAATAATTGTGGCCATGGATGGAAGGTCACGCAACAGTATACATATAAAGAACGGTGGAAATGGATCATCAAATTATCATGGAGAAAATATCAGCATGCTAATAATATTGTGGAACGATCGATAAGGAACGTTGGTTATAGAACGGTGGGAATATAACGGTTGGTATGGAACGGTGGGTATGGAACACTGGTCCTTTAATCAATCAGAAGTGGCAATAAATTAATCAAATCCAGAATCGAGTCAGAACCAAGGATATCATAGAATCGAAACCTGCTTCCGGGTCGCTTTTCTTGCATTTCGGCTACAAATTGTTGCTCCTTCCTTCAGCCCGATTGCGGCAGTGTCTCGTGTGCCGAGTGCCGTGTGCCAAAAGCCAAAGTGGAGGCAAACAAACAAAAACTGACTGTCGGGGACTCCGCCATCGGAGGAGAGCGAGTAGAGGACGTGGACGTGGTGGCATGAGTAAACAAATAAATAAATAAAATCAAATAAAAATTGAGGGAATCGAGATGGAGAGATGGCGAGGCGACCCTCTCAAAGGAGAACGCAAGGAATTGCATTGCCGAAACATTTGCAAGGGGTGGCGCCACCGATGAGGGGGCCGCGCGCGGCATCTTGAAAGGTATGCAAGACGACAACGAGAGAACTCACTCGAACAAGGCCAAAGGAACTTGCGGGAATCGCTCATATTGTTGCGTGGCATTCGGGGAAAATAGTTGTACTTAAACTTGAAGAAATCTTCTGTTTATGTTTCCGTTGAAACGTAGGGAAAATCCATAGCTGAACCCTTCCCCAATGCCCTCCCCCCTTCCTTCCCTTCCCGCCTCGTCTCGATTTGGTTTATATAAATAGGCCGTCGTCATCGTTGGAGCCTATGCAAAGCAGCAGAAAGGGGGAAGCAAAAAAATAAAGGAAATTATTTTTAAACCAGGCATAAGAGCAGCATAAATCTTCTAACAGAAGGAATATTTTACGCCGGCCATCCCGACCGTTCCGACCATTCGCATACAGATACTAGTATTCGTATTCGTATTCGTATTCGTATCCGTATCTGTATCTGTATTTTGTGTGCGTGAGTTGCACAAATTCATTTGAAGTCCCAGAACAGGGCCCAGGAAACGTGCTAAGACAATTGAGCCAAATGGCTTTGCTGACCATCCTTGGGCTTTGCTCAGACGCAAGCTCTGGCTCTGGCTCTGGCCTCTAGGTTCCCTTTGGCACGGCACGCTAATGGACATAATTATGCTGGGGCATGGGGCAGGGGACAGGGGCCAGGGGGCAGAGCAGGCCCGAAGGGGGTAGGTGGATTGGGTAAACCATAAACCAAGGACCAACCTAAACGACAATTAATGACAGGGCATGATAGATAAAGCCAGGAGAGAGAGAAAGAGCCACAACTTGGCCATAACTGATCACAGCAACAGGAAAACAGGGCCAGACGGAGACGGCAACCAAGTGCTAGATACCCTTCCAGATCCATCTTTTCCCCACGTCATCGTCAGAATCGTAATGCCCCCCCTTCTAGTAGGGTATATCAAAACAGAATTAAAAGAGAGAGGGGAAGCAGAGGGGCTCTCTCTCTCTCCCTCTATCTTTGAACAAATATGGACAGGAAAATGCCGATGGAGGCCTGCGACTAATGACTTTTAAATGCGTTAAAACGACAATACCAACGCAAACACAGAACCCAAGAGCCCAAGAACCCAAGAACCCAAGAACCGAAGACGAACAAAACGAGAACAAACCAAACAAACACAAAACTGGTAAGAGATGGAGGGAGAAACAAACACAAATCTGGTAGGAGATAGAGGGAGAAACAAACAGAAGCCCAGAAGAGACAAATGGAGGAGGGTACGAACCATCTATAGAAGAAAACCCTGAGACCCTGAAGGAAAGGGTCTTTGATCTATTCCCCTGCACATTTTCCGGGCAAACACCAGGAAAACTTTCGGACACACGTTTTCTTTGAAAGTTTCTTTGATGTATTATTTTTGAATTTGGAATTTTCTCCGATGATATTTGTATAGTCCAAGCATGATCGTGGAAACGAATCGGTCATAGAGATTAGTCGTAGAATGATAGATCTCTGAAATACATACGTTATAAAGAAAACCTCGTTGTAAGGGAGGTCGCCATAGAGAAGTTCGACGAACATCTTTAAGTTTTTTTAGATCTTAATAGATCTTAGTGTTTCGGTGTGGGAAGCTCTGTAGAACTTTAATCAAATTTCCGATTGAGTTACAGTGTACGTAAATATGTGTATGTGTATGTCTTTACAGCAGTCGAACACAGAAGTCAAAGGTCGGTCTCTTATGCTAATTGTCTCTTTGCCCCGTATCCGTGCGTCGTAAAGCCATGCCCGTGTCCGTCCCTTGGGTCCCCGGGTTTGTGACCTGCGTCTAGTTTTTGTTTTAAATACAAACTTCCTGTTTGGATTCCATCGAATCGAAACCAAACGAATGAACGAACAGACAAAATGTTTGTGCGTCTTCTTTTTAAGCGTACGAATAGTATGAGTGTTCGTATGAGTATTCGTAGTATTTCGTACGCTTCATTTCGGGTTTTGTTTTTAAGGGATCTTCAGTTGTGGCATATGGAATGGGGGAATGAAACGGACTGCTGTGCAGAGTGCAGTTCCAGAGAATTATGATCAATTAAAGACAAGATCTTGTGTGTGTGTGTGTTTGTGTGTGTGTCTGTGTTTTTGTTCACTCAATTCCCAGTCTCGATCGCAGGCTTCCACTCTTTCTCCACTCTGTCTCTGTCTCTGTTTCTGTTTCTGGTTCATCTTCATTCCCATTTCTAGATATTCTATTTATGGACATTTGGCATTTTAATTACTACAAAAACACAGACTAAATTGTAGATAGAAATGGTAATGGATAGGGGCAGGGTGGGGGAGGGGATAACTTGGGAACACGCTCCGGCAAAACATCTATCTATGTATCTGTCGCGATGGAAAAGCCCCCGTGGTTCAATCCGTAAAGTGGCACAGTGGAAAAAAGAGCTTTAACGATGAGGAATGGAACAACAAATAATTTGACAAACGAGTGCTGGAAAAATTGTTGCAAAATAGTTGCAGCGGCAACCAACGACAGAGGCAGTGGCAGTGCCTGAGAGAGGGAAAGGGCAACGGCGCAGAATGTGTCTGGAACGTGGGGGAACGCGCGTCCTGAGCAAACAAACAACAATCTGAGGAGGCGATGAGACGGCAGGGAGCGCTGTTGACGCTTCCGTGTTGCTCTCGCGCACACACACACACACACATGTAATTATGTATACCCTGTAAAAAGTATTCAAGGGAAACAATAAGAAGATCTTATGGAGTCTCTATTTATGAATCCTCGAAGGATTCAGGGAATTCTCTCTCAGATTTCCCCAAGTATTCCGATTTCTTTTCGCTGTTCTTTGTACAGGGTATATCCGTTTCGAGGCTCTTCATGTCGTTACTTCATTCTTTTCATTAACAAACAGAAGGAGGAGGAGGAGAACAACGGTGGAAAGGAAGGAAGCACAAGCAGAAGAAGAAGGAGGAGGTGGAGGAGGAGTAGAAGAGAAACCTGCGCCCCCAACCAGGAAGTCAGCCACGTTGCACACACACACACAGAGGGACACTCATATACTCCACTCGGAGAGGGAGAGAGCCCGTGGGCACACGAAGAATCCCTCTCGCGTTTGTTTTGTGAGGTTAGGATGCGCTTTAAGAGCGGTTTTCGGGGGGACATGCGGCGGCAGATAGGAACTCCCCGTGCATTTGGATGAATGATAGAACGAGAGATAGTCGCATATCAGCGGTTGACCCTCCTGTGCATTTTGTGCACCCCGCGATCCTGATGTCCCTTTTCCGTTACCCTTCCTCCCCAGCACACCATCCGACCGTACTAAATCCACCGCTAAGCTACAGTTTGTGGTTTTTTTTTACATTTTCTTGGATTTTCCTTTTTGATTTCCCTCTTTCTGACTTTTGGCGCTCCGAGGCATTACACTGAACTACGACCAGAGAAAATGTCCCTATTTAAAATTCGATCTAAAAATGTATGCCAATATTAGAGATGATTCGATATCTTTCATATTTAATTCAAATATATTTCCCAAATATTGAGTACTTTATATTTTTTTAAGGGTTTAAGATTTAAGAAGAATCTTACATTTATGTTGGAATCAAATCTATTTAATCTTTAATTTAAATATGGGTGTGTTTTTCTTTTTACTAAGCCCTGTTTCTCTGCGTGTACATTTCACAGGAATTTCAATTTTTTAAGGACCAGTACAGAGTGGCTTCTGTCTTCTAAAAAATATTATCTACAAGATTGCAGAGTCTGGCTGCGATCGGTTCATTCGGTTCGCATCCGCTCTCTTTCACAGAGTAGCTGAGTAGTGGCTGTTGTCGTGTGTCGTGTGTCGCGGTACGTAAGCCGCTTTGCGTTCCACTCCCACCGTTCCTACTGCACTACACATCATAGTTGTACTCCATTAGACTTTGCTACAAAAACTGAGCTCATAAAATGGAACATCTTTCCCTTTCCCTTTCGCCTTTGCTTTATTTTTTTTCTGGCATTTTACGAGCTTTCTGTGTGAGTTTCTGTGTCAAACATGTGTGAAACAGACCCCACCACCAACCATCCCAAAAAACAAAATCGCCCTGCCCCACCCTTACCCCTCCCCTCTGCCTACAGCAGCCACCCACCGACTGCCTGCTGTTTCTGCTTCGGCTTCTGGTTCTGCCTCTGGATGCTGTGCATCTTTTAATTACAAGCCCAAAAAGGGCGGCGGTTGGAGGAGTGTAAAAGATTTGATTTATATGCGAGGACTTGGCATTTATGTTCTCTGGAATTATTTTAATTTGGTCATGGGAAGAGAGGGAGAGGGAGGGACAGATGCACATACATGCAGAGACAGGGACAGGGGAGGAGAGGGTCTACTGTGTGCAATCTAATTACATCAGAAGTGGGCCAAAGGTTGGAGGTCAGAAAAGACCGATCAGCCGACTGTAGGGGTTCAATCAGTGATTAAAACATCAGAGAATCAAGAATTGAAAGGGAAAGTACTCGTAATCGTGATTTCATGGCATTCATTCAAAAAGAGATATCAAAACTAATAAAAGATACACTCAAACGATAGAAAAGCAATTGAAACCCTCTCGAGGACAGCATTTGACAGCATTGTATTGGTAGAAATACCTGCAGTTCGAAGATACATATATTGTATAGTGGCACTTATCCTGATGTGAGCACCAATCAGCACTTTCGGATGAGCGGAATATTCAATATTTGGCCTCTATGGCGATTCGAGCGCTACAACAGGCTCTCCCTAGTTCGTGGCGACTTTCGTTCGGGAGTTAAGTCCGCATTTCGTTGACCTTCAGATGACCAACATACCACCTCGCACTCTCAGCCATTTTATCTGTATCTGTGTCTCTTCTTCGGATGATTCAACGTGCCCCGCCCGCTTGGGCTCTTGATAAATAACTGCATTCATGCCTCGAGACCCCCTGCCCCTATGGGAGAGGCTTTTATATGCAAACGAGTCATGACAGAATAAACAACTCGCTTGCGAAGAGGCTCCCAATAAAGGGAGATTTTCAGGGGGCAGGGGGGTGGTTGTGATAATTGCCGATAAACAGAGCCGTGCAACAAAATATGGGGAGAGCTGAAGATCGCCAGCAGACAGAAGCTCCTCCTTTGCACACCCTCTCTGGGGCATGAGCAGGGGGAACACCCTTTTAGTGTAAAGGGTATAGGGTATATACCGATCGATGTTTGGTTTTTGTGTTTTTGCTCTTCTTTAACGTATATTTAATGAGGCGAGACATTTTTAATTGAAGCTCAATTAAGCGACAGAGCAGAGGCCAAAGCAGAAGTAGAGCAGAAGGGCAGCAGGGAAAGCCCAGAGACAGAGACAGTGGCAGCGACAGCGACAGCGACAGCGACAGAGAATAAAAAAGCACAAGCGCAACTGCAGCAGAAGATAAGGAAGCAACAAAAAACAGAAACAGAAACAGAATCAGCATCAAAATGCAGCTGCAGCCAAAGTCAAAGCCAAAGCCACGCCAAAGCGGAGACAAATGGAAACGCAGCAACAGAAATGCAAAGCAAAAAGCAGCGCCAGCAGACGAGCAGAGGAGCAGCAGCGTCGTCGGCAGAGGGTGCGGCAAAAGAATTAGAAAAACAGGCCAAAAAGTTGGAAGTACTTGCCAAACAAAGACGCAGCTGAACAGCAGGCCATCTACTTATGATACACAATATAAATAATAATAAATTCGATCTCAAAAATATACTTTGAATAATCCTTTACGGGCATATAGCAAATGAGTGTTAGGGGGCGACTGATAGTTGAAATTCCATCAAATGTAAAACCTTTGATTCACAGCTGTTTTCAATCAGCTGATCGCTTCACACTGTATTACGCTTAATCGCTCATGAGGCAACGCAGCTGCCACCTCGTTCAGCCAGTGCTTAAGTCCCGGTGACGGTGACACAGCAGCTCAGCTCAGCTCTGCTCTGCCCTGCTCTGCGCCTCTCTTCTGCTGCTCTTCTCCCGCTCTTCGCTACTCTTTTTTTTTGATGTTGCTTCTGCGGGTTTTTTTGTATTTGTTTTAAAGAAAACCAAATTTAATGAAGCGAAAACACCATTAAAAAATAAGTAAAAGTAAAAGAAAAGAGTGAAAATTAAAATCAACATAAATGTTGAAGAGATAGGCGCTCATACGTGTGTGTGTATGTGTGTGGGTGTGTGGGTGTGGGTGGGACGTGGAGCCGCCCCCACATCAAAACCGCTTTTCACACGAAAATTTCACGGGGGCCTAAGCTCTCGAAGGGAAGGAAAAATCCGGCTTGAAGACTTTACATGCTCTAAGCTGAATCTCAGATGCTCTAACCCCCAAGCGTCTGACAGGCGATTTATATCCCGAGAATTTCCAATATTCGGAAAACAATGGCGCATATTTGTGGGAAAAGGGCTAAAGTGGTCTCTTTACTGTCCATAAATTGAGTGAAAATCCGAAAGGAAAACGATGTAATCGCATAAGCAAAACCAGAGGAAGAATTTAAATGAATTATATTTGCGCAATTATTGAAAAATTCACTTAGAAAACGGAGAAGAGGCAAAGAGCGGGGTAGCGGGGTAGCGGGTGGGTGTGTGGGTCGTGTGGTAACTGCTGAAAAAGGCGAACCGTCATGCGGTGTAAATATTTGCGTAATGCCACAAAAAGCAACAGAAAAGCAGAGCAGACCAACAAAAACATACTCAAAAAATAAACAAGAAAGTAAGACTACCTTTCGTAGGGGGGCACCGACACTATAAATACCCTCGAAGCATCGCTAAACTCATGAGGAAAACCAAAAGAAAACTCCAGATTGGGGGCTTTTAAATACACAAAAATAATGAATAAAATAGAATTAACTTTGCTTCAAGCGTAAATATTTTAGGATATATGTTTAATCTATAAATGCATAGATTTATTTTAAATATGAAATATATTTATTAGACTTTGACTGTGACTTTTATAAATTTCCACTCTCTCTGTGAAAATTTATTGGTATTATATGGTATTATATGGATCAATCCCAGCCTCACCATCATACCCCTAGTCCAGGGCATCAAAAAGTGCAAACAAAGAGTGTGAGAAAGTGTGTGGCAGAGCCAAAAGTTGAAAGGAATGAAAAATTATTAAAAATTATAATTAAATGTGATAAAATTTTCGTAAATACTCGTAAATAAACCGAAAGTCATTAACGACGCAACGAAAAAATATATATATATATGTATATTTGAAAAAAGGAAGCACATAAAAATATAAAAAAAAGAAGATGAAGAAATTGCAAGGCAGAAAGCGGGAGAAATGAAAGAGCACAACAGCAAAACAGCAAAAGCAAATAAAACAATTATAACAAACGGCAGGAGAGAGAGAGAGAGAGAGAGAGAGAGAGAGAGAGAGAGAGAGAGAGAGAGACACAGAGAGGGAGCGAGCGAGTGGGAGAGTGAGAAAAACAACTCAAGGTGTAAGAACCAGTCTCTCGTCTCATTCAATTTGTTTTCTCACTTTCTGCAACATTTTCTGAATGAGTTCCCAAAACAAAAGTAAAACTTTGACTCTGGAATTCGGCTGAAAATATTTGCTAGCCTTTAAGGAAAGTCTTTGCAAGGATGAAGCGAGATTTGAAGGACAGTTTGTAGCTAGGATACAAAAGGCCGAGTCGGAGAAAAGAAGACTTTTTGGGAGCTTTTTCCGAATCCAATTTCTTAATCACTTTCCGTGCCTCTCGTGTCGCAATGGAGAGCTCCCTTTGGCATTCGCCTTTGGATTTCTCGAGGGTTAAGATCCAGTTATTTACAGCTTTATTTTTCATCTAATCTGTCAAACTGTCGGCAGTCCCACCGTTCTTGTTCAACTTTAATAAGCAAAATATCTATATAGATTTCGCGACTTAACAAATAATAATAAGTAGCTCTTCCCACTCCCCATTCCCCTCCCTCTTCGTCACGCTCAGCTGCGACTGAAATTAAAAATCGAAAAGCAAAAGCAAAAGGAAAGCGACAAAAAAAGAGCCAAAAGGTAAAAACAACAGCAAATGGAAAATTCAGCATCGGTTTTTCTCGACTACGATTACGTTAAATGAATATAAAAGAGGTAGAGAGAGGGAGGGAGGGGGCAATAAAGAGCCCAACAGAAGTAAACAAAAATTACGGCATTAAAATTAACAAACGCGAAGAAAATGCAGAAAAATAGGTGGGAATGCGGGAGTATGTAGGTGCGGTTGGCTTTCCCAATGATGATGACCCAACGGTCCCCACCACTCACCCACTCATCCACTGAATCGTTGAATCGTACCCTGGCGCCACGAGGGTATTATGATTTCCAGCAGACATTTGCATCGTAAGGAGGGCACATCCCCAGAGAGTAAACACATACATGTGCAAGAATCAAAGGGCATCTGTAGTCGTCTAGTCGAAATATATAGCAACAAGAGAAGATCGAAATAAAGACAAGAAGCTACACCGCAAACTCGAGTCGAGCTTTGCATTTGCTGAGAGCCGAGGAGGGCAAGCGCCCGAATGTTGTTGCTGCTGCGAGAGAGCCAACGAAGACGGAGCAGTGGGAACTGCTGCGAGAGAGCGATAGAACAAAGAGCAGTAGGCATCGCTGAGAGAGAGAGAGGGAGCGCAACAGAATGCAGAAATTGCAAGAGCATGCATTGCGAGAGAGGAGCAAAGCTCGTGGATAAAATGCAGATCAAGAGATAAGACAATTGCGACTGCGCCCAAGGCACAATGGAAACGAAGTGGAAGCAGAGAAGCGCCAAATGGATATTTCTGAACAGAAACAATTCGATAGTCGATTCGATAGCGCAATAGTTCCTCAGATTTTAGGGCTAAAGCTCTTCGGATCATTTTGGGAAACCAATCCAATCCACGAGAGTAACCGAAGGTCCTACCTATTGTTTCCCTCTCACCTTTCTATCCATTCATAACTTCTAGACTTTTCACAGACTCTGCTGCAGATCGGATCACTATATCATAGAACTTCAATGGGAAGCAATTATTTCCAAAGATGATATCATCTGTTTAGCTCCGATAAGAAACATGAATGTGCCAGGGTACCTAAAGCACCGTTAGCCCACTGAGATATGTACCGAATCAAAAGGTTATCGCAGCAGCAGCCTACAATCCACCCACAAACAGAAGCACAGTCGGGGATTCCCACAGAGAAACGAGAAAGGGGCACCCCGGATAGGAAGAAACA